CACTCAGCAGGAATGTCCTCTTTCATCAAATGAAGCAGACCTCTCTCCACACTTCCTCGGGTTCTCTAGAGCATGGTTTCTGAAGCCTCTTATGCTTTTGACCTTTTAGAGTCAGAACCTGATAAAAAGGGTTTTAAACTAACAACTGAAATGGAGAATAGAGAAGGGTTTATTTCTTTTAGAATAAATGGAAAAATCTTTCTCTTACTGTTTCAAATGGGAACATTACCAGTTATATTTCATCTTGACCACATAAATCCAACATGTTCTGCCCTGCAACTCAAATCCAGTCTGATGAATGCTACAAATGAAAGGTTTACTATGTTTTCATCCACGTTAAGGCAGCATTTCCATGCCATGTGTTCAAGAAAACAAGATCGTATCAAAAATTGCCTTTTTTTTAATGTGCATCTAGGAATTTCAGTAAATCCATCATCTTTCCATTGTTTATGCACATGTAGTCTTTACATATTTAAAACTGATTAAAAAGCTTTTCTGCACATATTGGAAATTGTATCCACATCTTGGCGTTTCTATCCAGCACTTTTAATATGATCTCAAAATTCACATTAAAAATATGTGGCTGGAAACCCAGGATATGATGACTAGCAGGCAAACGCATTTGGAAAATATCTGAAATTACGCCTACTACACTTACACCTTATCAAACATGGGCGAAAGAAGTAAAACTATGCTGCATTTTGGGAAATGTGTCGTGCCTTAGATAATGTTGGAGCAATATCTATATATCCTTTTAGCACTCACATTTACTGCTGTTCTGGGGAAGATATAATATTTCTTCGAGCTGTTCTTTTCAAATTAAATATGTGTCAGTAATAAAGGTGAAGCAGTATTAGTGTGTACATGATTCACTTGAGTAACTTAGAATGAACTAGATTTTTAAAAAGAGAGAAAAAAACAACCTCTGTACCTCGTCAAAATATGCAGCTGTGTTCTTTTGGAAGTTATTGATTTCATAAAAGCTTTGATTCGTTTCATACTATAGGGCTTACTTCTCACTAAACATCAGAGGAAACCTGCTGTTTTTATAGAGTGTTGTCATTTTCCCAAGCCATTGAAACCATGAGAGCGTTGCGAGCACCACATTTCCAATACAATCGCATCCAATGTGTTCCTTTAACTTTAACTCAGTGGCCTGTTGTTAGGAGGAAACGTTGAATATGTGTGGGTGAATATGAATCTAATGAGGTCATGTGCTTGATGCCTCCTTTAAAAACAATGTACTGATTAGGATGCACTGAGCATTGTTTGTTTTAGGGAAAATGGCCTGAAATAATTACCTTGGCACAATTAAAATCACAGCCCCTTTGATTGCTGTGGCTGCAGGGCTGCAGGACTCTGAGACATGCTTCACTTTCCTGTCTGTAATGTGCTCCGGGTCAAGAAGTTTTTCTCCTTCGCTCACCTTTTGTGACACTTGCCCATTATAATGCAGTTGTGGCAATTTAACCAACTGCAGTTGTACCACGGGCAATTTTTCCTCTGCTGTCTGAGTTCAATTGAATTAAAAATCAATAGAAAAGGCCTCCGGTATAACAGACAAATCTTCATTCAGCTTCTCAATTTAATGTTCTTATGTTGTGGTGAGATCTTTTGTGAATTTTTTCCTGTCTGTGTCTGTGTAATAAAAAAAAAAAACATAAAAGATGAACACGTACTACTACAAAAATGTAGCATACAGAGTACAGAATATATATATATATATATATATTGGACCTATATTGTGTGTATATATATATAAACAAATTTCGTAATGTTTATATAGTGAATATAACTGAAAATTGCAATTGACACATTTGTAAAGCTCTTCACTCTAGTATAAAACAAGCATCCAAGCATATTGAACACCTTTGAAGGGACTCGGAATGAGGTGGAGAGTTATCGGTTGAAGCCTGCGGTGCAGCTTCATATCTGTAAGCAGTGAAGTTGCATCTGCATTCGTTGCAGTGAAAGGACTGCTGCTCTTATCAAAATAAGCTCTCGATGTGAGAATATTCTCAGTGTTTTATGAAGCCAGGAGCCACTCGAAGCCCATTTTAGTGCTTCAGCAGACTGACCTGTAGTTACACGCTATGTCTGGGAAGCCGTTTGGAGTAAATAAGATGTTTACTCATTTAATAGCGATTTTTGCAGACTGTTTTGAAATGCCTGAAAATTTCATGAGCAGGCTATTAAAATGTTTCTGCCTAAAAAGTCAGATTCATCTACCATATTCTCAGTGTTTTATGAAGCCAGGAGCCACTCGAAGCCCATTTTAGTGCTTCAGCAGACTGACCTGTAGTTACACGCTATGTCTGGGAAGCCGTTTGGAGTAAATAAGATGTTTACTCATTTAATAGCGATTTTCTCTGAAGGCAGTCTCTCTGATCTAGCTCTGTCCTTTTGCAGACTGTTTTGAAATGCCTGAAAATTTCATGAGCAGGCTATTAAAATGTTTCTGCCTAAAAAGTCAGATTCGTCTACCAGCAAAATACCCACGCAAATTTGTGTACATATTTTACATGAACAGTTTACCATATCTGAGAATGAGGTCGCTATAAAATATATCCTTGGATGTTGAACTGCAGATTGACTTGAGTTGGAAAAAAGAAAGCTCTCTGGTTTTCATTAAAAGCACATTGATTTTTTTATGCAAGGGTTTTGTAACCTTGAAATGTTCTCTCAGAGGATAGAGGCCATCTTTCACTTGACTTGTTCAAGGATATTTTTTTTTTGTCTGTAGTTGTGAATAAACATAGGCCTTTTTTAGAATTCAGTTCTTTCATAGAGCCTAAGATACATTTCTGGAGCTGTTGAAATGTTCATTTTCACTCAAAGAGGAAATCTTATGAGTATTTAGAGATCTAAATTGTAGCAAGGGTCTTTTCCGCTAACCTTGTTTCAGTAGAAGTCCGATTTAGAAATCGTGACTCGACAGAGTTTGAAGATGTAAAATGTCCTTGTACATCACTTCTCAGCCGTACTTAATAAACGATTAATGGTAACAGAGTAGCGAAGGCCTACTGGGATGTTATTTAAAGGGGGCATATCATAAAAAAAACGTGTTTTTTTTACCTTCACAGACATAACCGACTTTTTTGTAAGTCGTGTGTTTTTAACAGAAACTTTTATTTGTGTATTTGACAGTGTAAGTGCAATAAGACAAAAGAGAACTCACATGCTGTGCGACAGATGCTTTCTGTGTGCGTGCTTCAGATGTGTGCACTCAGAAAACTGTATATAAAAGTTTAAACTGATATGGCTTTAAAACGCATGATTTCAGCGTGATAGACATGACAATCAAAACCAAACAGATGTTTTTTGGGCAGAGTATCTGAGGTAAGAGCTGTAAAGGCACAGCCCTATTCTGGAAAAGGGGCGGGGAGCAGCAGCTCATTTGCATTTAAAGTGACATGCACATTGCTTCCACTTAAAATTGGCATTTTCAGAATGATATAATAAATGCTCTGTGGGGTATTTTGAGCTGAAACTTCACGGACACATTATGGGGACACCTGAGACTTATGTTACACCAAAAGGGGCATAATAGGTCTGCTTTAATTCAGGTATGATTGTTTTTTTATTAGCAGTGCAGCTTTATGTGGACTAGCCACTTTTGCTAACATGTCCAGCACCTGGTCGAATTATTTATGGACAGTTTGTTCCCACCTGATTTGGTTTTGAATTCGTCCTTATGTTGCCTCTCTGTTTTTCTTTGAGCATGATTTCAATCACATCTCTCAAAACTCTCCTGTCTTTTGTGTACATACGTGTGTCTTTTTTCTCACCCTCTTAGGTGAAGTACGGGCGTTTTGCATTTGTGTGGGATGCAGCTGTGCTGGAGTATGTGGCCATTAACGACGAGGACTGCTCGCTCTACACCGTGAGCAACAATGTGGCTGACAGGGGCTACGGCATTGCGATGCAGCATGGCAGTCCCTACAGGGACATCTTCTCTCAGAGGTACTGTATGATGAGACTCTTATTGTCCATATGTAGCCAGTCATCTCTGGGGCCCTTCTGTTATACAAGAAGGAATTTTCAATTTAAATTTGGCATTTAAAGTCTGAGTTTGTGATTTCTCAAATAGAGTAGACCAGGGATGGATGGAACACGGGCTGAATTAACAGTCATTTTAACCACTTAGAAAGTAGGTATAGGAATGAAATCATTATTATACATGAGAAAATTCAAAGTATGTCCCAAAAAATAAGTACAGTACTAAAAAAAATCATAAATATTTTGAGGTAGAATTTGGTCAGCTTACTATTAAAGGACAGAATTTATATCTTTTGATTCTCTTGTTTGATTTGAAATTTCACACTTATTTAAAACTTTCATCTAAATGTAAGAACATACCTAGAATTATCATTTCTAAGCATTGCTTTCTTCATTTAATTCTACTGGACCTACAAGGATGGAACAAAATAGGACCATGTTTCATGTAGGACAAATGTTTCAGTTTGTTCATTAATATTTTTCAACCAGTTTGTCATTTTAGAATATATTTTTCATTTTTATTTAAAAAAAATCATTTTTTTTTTTTTTTTTTTGCTTAAAAATAAAATTGGGTGGAGTTGGGGGAAAGTTGTTGATTTTTTTTTTTACATTTTAATTTTAATATAAATATACAATATATACATTTAAAAAAAGTTAATTTGTGTAAAATAAATGCATATGCATAACTTAAAATGTAAAAACAATTGTATTTTCTAGTGTTAAAAGCCCAATTAAAAAAAAATTATAATCATTTGTAGCAGACAAGTATGAGAAAATTATACCAAAGTTTGAGATAAATTTCACAAAAAAAAAAAAAACTTCTTAAAAAGTGTTACAACTATTCATGGTCTCCCCTGTTAAAATTCATTAATGATAGGTCTTGCGTTTGTGATTTTAAAAACACTTCCCTGTTGGGCCTCACAATTTATTTTTATTTATTTCCATCTGAGGAGTGTGTTGCCTGAAATCCACTAATTTCAGGCAACACAATGTGTTGTCATTGTTGTGGTCTTGGACAGCTATCAACTTTAATTTTAATAGAGCAATTTAAAAAGTTTCCTATGGCTTCTGAAACAATGGAGAGGAAATTGCATAGCAGAATTATATGAGAGTGTTTTATAATAGGCTTTCAAATTTAGCCAGTCAACTGAGCTCAATTCTTCAAGTGAAAAGACAAACTCTTTTGCGTCACCTAAGAGGCAGTGCTTCTGCGCAGTAAATACAGCACCAATGGAGATCAAACAACATACGATTCTTAATGGCAGGAATGTGTTTTTCCGCTCCGCTGCTACAATACGGGGAGCTGAATAGAGATCCACGCCATGTTAAATCACTCACTCTGAGTGAAATTGCTATTGCTATTGAAATACCAGTATAGTGACAGACTGAGAAAAATATGATAGCATGGTGTGATGGACCCATTGTTTGGGTAAAATTCGATACATGCTCTGCGTTTACTCATCACCAGGAGTCTGAAGAGAGAACATGCTAGTGCAGTAGCTGAACACATCTGCCATAGTGCATAAGTAAAGTAGCCCACAGAGGGAAGAGAAAGAGGAAAACTTGACAAAACAATTAAATGATAATAAGGTACCAAAAGGAAACTGTACTGTAGTGAAAGTGCACCTTAATCACTTACATTGTCCTCTAGGTACAGTTGTTCTGTGGATTTTGAAGAGCTTTTACCATTCCAAATCACAGATCACCATCTTCCATCTGTTGTTTCCATGAGACTAAATGCATGCGGTTTTGTCAGGATACTGCACAGATGCACCTGAAATCTCATAAAAACTCTTGACAACTTGTCAAATGATCTATAAGTGAATAATCTGTGTGTAAATGACATAATTCTCTGAACATTTCCCTTTTAGTAAGAAGAAATGAGATATTTAATGCAATCTGCTTTGTAGAATTCTGTAGATGTCCAGCCCATAGAGTCCCACTGAATTTGTTCAGTTGGAGTTTATGGCAGCCACCTGAACCATAGATTTAAAGGCAGCACTTCGATGGATATATCGAAATAAAATCGATATCGCAATATGGCTTAGTGCTCATGATACTGTGTTCAGCGTCTCACAGCAGCTCAGTTCATTTACTGTGAACATGTCTGAGTCTGAGTCACAGAAACACTGTATCTTCAGCAACACACATGTAGATGAACACACGTATTTATTTGCCAGAAAAGCACCAAAATAAAAGCTTGATGGCTTAATGTTTAAAAAAGGAAGACATTTAGACAAAATGTGTTATATGTATATATTTGTATATTTTTAAATATTTACATTTTATTTTTACATTTTCCTTTTTTAATTTTACTGTATTATTAGTATTTTTATTTAGCAATATTCACACACAAAATATGATTATTATTTTATAGTCATATTTAATAGGCCGAAAACAAGTCATTCAGGCTTAAAAGGTTGGTTTACAAAACATAAATGAATAAAAGAATAATATCAGTGAAAAAATTTTTTTTTTCAGCTTTTTAAAATTCTTTTTATTTTACAGATTCTCTCCCCTACAAATTTACCCCATTCATTCTAGAATGATTAATTATTTTTAAATAGAGCTGTTCATTTCATTTAGTAATAATTTCTGTATTTTGTCATATCTCAATATATTTCACAGATGAATATTGCAATGGCAGTTTTTTTTTTTTTTTCCAATATCCTGCTGCCCAAATTTATATGCCATGTCAATACCATAAAACAGTTTTTGAGCACTGTATTTTTTTGCTTAGGGAGGGAGAAGTGCATCAGCAGTAGTAACACATTTAGTGTAGCATTTATAATGTTTTTTTCCTTGCATATTTCTATTAGTAAATATTGTAGTAATATTGAATATTTTTTTAAGTTGTTTATTTAGTGGTATTTTGAGAAGCAGCATTTAAGAGTAATGATTTGCCATTTGATAAATGACATTTGTGTTCCCCCCTTCTTGAAAATCACCAGCCGCCACTGATTTGTGTGTGAACGTGTTTTTGTGTGTAAATGTATAGATTGATGTAGTCTGCTACCAATCCAAAAATATCAGGGAGTTTATTGTTTATTGAGTACATGTGGTTTATAATCTGGCATGTATGGGCAATTGCTAAATCATTAATTCTTAGGTTGAACTCTAAATTACACATTATTGATTGGTGTGTTGGTTTACACTGGAGGCATGGGAAAGAGAGAGAGATAAAGAGTGTGAAATAAAGAGCGACAGAAGGGGTATGTTAGGTGTTTTGAATAAAAGCTTAGCATTTAGAGTAAGGAGAGTGCTTTCTTTCACGTTGTATTTGATATGTCTTGAGATGTTTAAACAGTTGCCATCTTTATCTGGAAACAGTGTAGTTTTTTTATTTTACCAAATTTTAAATTATTTATTTATTTATTTATTTTGGATTACTAAAGCTCATGCTTAGATTTTTAAAGATCAGGGCTGTGTTTCCCGATAACGCTGTCTCTTAGCGCGCTATGAAGTCTCTAAAGGTATGCCTTAACGAAAGGTGTACCATTTCTAGGCATGTTCCCCGAACTATACCTTTGAAAGTTGCTTAAGATATACCTTCTTACGTGTGAGGTGCCAGGTGCTGTCCATGGCGGTGGTGCTGAATTGGTTGATATCAATGGCTCAAGAATCGATTATTCATTCTATGCATGGGCTGCTTCACTGTGTTATCTGAGAAAGTGTTGATTTTAAATAAAGACACGGAACTCTTTCCTGTTAGAACGCAACGAATTTGTGTGAAACTTGTACTTTTGCTTTGCAGCATACATCACATCAGGGAAGAAAACCAAGAAAGAAAAATATATGCCCAGAGCACCTCCCAGTGGGCACCACATAAAATACAAGGAATAAAACCTACACGAGACACTGCTTAATCATTTTACAGCCTTTAACAGAAGAGAGAAAAAAATAACAAAATAAAAATAACACCTTGGGCCTACACAAGTCCAACAGAAAAACATTGTGGTAAGAGTGCTTTCCAACAAGAAGCACTTCAAAAAAAAGTTGAAATTGCATTTATCAGGAATCATGGGATATTAAAAAAAATAATCCGAATTGCAAACTCAATCCAACCCTGTGGATATTTTATATAATTCTGAAATGAGTGCGCGAACCCGCAACCTCATGCCCAAACGTAGCCTATATCACTAACTGGCAGTATGCCTTCACTGGCCTTTGAATGATTCATTTATATTATCATAATAATTTTTATTGTTACTCCACAGCCAGGGTTGATTGCCCAGCAGCCGCATCACATATTGGTGTAAATCACAAATGTTTGTTATTGGATGTCCTACTCAATAAAAACGGAACAGGAGAAACATATAATCAACAGCTACTATTACGGAGAGAAAGAGGAGAGCCGCAAGCAGCTGAATTTGTCTCGACAAAATCGGACCAACAAGATCTAAAAGTTTCTGAATTTACTGCTTTGCCGGCAAATGTGTTTTATTTGTTTTGTTTTGTTTTTCTAAAGTTTTAGTACACTATTTGGCTCCACGGACAGCGCCATCTTTGAGTTTGCACAACTATTATATTCGTATAGAATGAGATGTAAAGAACTGTGAAAAGTGATAAGATATAGCTAAGAGTGGTCCAGACCAACCTTACGAAAGTATGACTTACGAAAAGTATACTTAACTAAGAATGTTTCAGGGAAATGCGTATTAATGATAAGGTACAGGTTAAGGTACAACTTAAGAATGACATAGTGTTAAGAAGGTTTCGGGAAACGCAGCCCTGAAGAATTTTGGTTGAAGAAATGGGTGGAAAATATTCCTTAGTCATATAGTCATATAGGAATCAAAATATCACAGACTTGATATTTTGATTAAAGGGGTCCTATTATGCTCTTTTACAAAGTCTTGATTTTGTTTTGAGGGTGTACTAGAACAGGCTCTCATACTAGGTTGTTCGAAAAACACATTATTTTTCACATATTTTACATTATTACAACACCTCTCTCCCCAGTC